AAGCACTGGCTCTTCTACTTGGCTGATTGAAATTGCCCTTCCCTTGTTCCCACAGGAAGGCAGATGATGGCATGTGTGGTGCCAGTGCCCCTTGACCGCAGTATCCCATACCCAGACCTCCTCCAATGGAAGAAAACCACACCAAGAGAAAAATGGTAGGGAAGCAGAGTTGGGAACTGTGTCACTGGCAGAGCCTTCTTTTGAAAAATCAGACTGCAAGTAGCAGGTTGAAGATACCAAATTCTGTTTCTGGAGGTGGAGGAGTTTACCTAATGCAGCCACATACTGCAGCTGGCTTATTATCAGCATTTTTAACACCTCTTCTGAACTTGCCCAGTAAAAACTCATCCAGTTTCTACATATTTTAGATTGTAAGCTTTCTGGGATAAAGACTGTTTCACTACATGTACGTGCAGTGCAGAACAAACAGGAATCCTCTTTAAACTCCTGCTTCTTAAATGCACTTCTATACTCCTTCCAAGAGTTTCAAAAACAAATTGCACACTTCTCATACGCACAAAAAATATTTCTTACATTTACACATCGTGCAATAAGGCCTCTTTTTTTTTTTTTTTTAAAAAAAAAAAAAAGATGTATACAGCATACCTTTCCTAATACATACCTAGTGTATACCTTGATGGGAAATTATTGGTCTGAAGAAACCTAGGAAACTGATCACACCAGATTTGTCAGACAAGTTTATATAATTATTGTTTTCCTTCATAATACAAGTATTTAAGTGTATGCCACTCTGAAGTAACTGATACTAGTTTACTAAAGTAACCCATTTAATGAAGTAGGATTAGCAAAATTTTCATTTACTAGCCTACTTGACAGTCAGTGCCCACAAAAGTTCAGAGCTTACTTAAAATTACTGACATAATTCTAGCAATTATAAACCACCCATACACGACAGAAAGATACTAGCATACCCTATATAGTTTATTCTATGAAATATGTGAAAGCAATAATCAATGTGGACAGATAAGGCTCATTCAAAATACTGAAGGGTAAAATTGCCACTGTAGATCTCATGTACCATATATCTAGATACTAATGCACCGAAATCACCAGCACCCCAGGTTACCTTACCAGCCAGAATGGTAATTTAGCAGTTAGAGAGGTAGTCCACAGCACAGACCATAGAATCATAGAATGTCTGGG